GTTGATGACCACTGCTCCAAAGGTTTCTTTAAACCAGCAGTCCCCAACCTTTTGGACCTCACAGACCACCAGTTGGTGAATGTACTGAATCTTAGGATAGTCAAGTGATGCATATGTAGCAAGAAAAGTCATGCACTTAGCTCATTCTGATTATCTCCACTCAGTACACAGGAGATGCCCATTGGGCAGTGGCCTTTGCTACTTTTGGCTTGTAAGTAAGAGCTTCTGTTAAGTGGAGGATCCATGGGTGGGACTGCAGAGTTTCTGAACAGAACAGACGCAGTGGAGGTGGCCACTGCAGCTTCGTGAAGACTCAGTGGTTGTGAGACAGGAGTGGGATGGCATAAGGAGGCTCCATCATGGGAAAAGGATCAGTTAAACTGTCCCTGCATGGAGAGACTCAGTGGGATACACTTGGAGAAAGATGCACACAGGACTTCTGCCTAAATTAATGATTTCAGAATAACGATTCTTACTGATTTCAATAAATTTGTTCCCCATCACTTAACAATGCTTATTTATTTATTTATTTATTTAGACTTAAACATATATTTTTATTGATTTCAGAGAAGAAGGGAGAGGGAGATAGAAACACCAATGATGAGAATCATTGTTTGGCTGCCTACTGTACCCCCCACTAGGGAATGAGCCCCCAACCCAGGCATGCATCCTGACCAGGAATTGCTAGTTGGACTGGTTTCTTTTTATAGTTTCTCTGTTTGGTTAAACTTCTTATTTGGTTCATTTTTTTTAGTTGTCTGTCTATGGGCTCTTATAGTTCACTGAACTTCTTTAAGAGGATTATTCTAAATTTTTTCTCAGACAACTTATATATCCTAATTTCTTTAAGGGTAGTTATTAAAATTTATTAATGTTTGTTTTTATTTGTTTGTTTGTTTGTTTATAGTGCAATGCTTCCCTGAAATTCATGATCCTTGATTCCTTGTGTTGGTATCAGTCATATAAATAAGCAAGCTCTTTTCATAGACTTTGCATGTTCACTTCACCAGGAAAATGCCTTCATCAGTCAGCTAGGCTTGGAATACCATACAGGAGAGCTGGTAGCATCCATGGGAAGATGGTGCATGTCATCAGGGTCTCAGTTGGGAAGGCTAGTGACTGTGCTCTGAGATTGGTGTTTGGATGATAGCTGAGCTCTGTGGTTTGGTGGATTTGCAGGTTGGGCTCCCTGATCAGGCACAACTTCTGGCTGTACTCTGTGGCTTGATGGGTGCACTTGCTGAGCTTTGCGATCACCTGTTGTTGGGTGAGGTTTCAGGCTGTGTTTTGTGGCATGGTGGTGCCATTAGTTGGACTCTGTAATTTTTCAGGATTACAGGATGGGCTCTGCAATAGCTCCTTGTTGGGTAGAGTTTCAAGCTGCGTTCCCTAGCCTGATGGTGTCTCTGGCTAGACTTAATGCTCAGTTGGGGCTACTGTTAGGGCTTCACACGCATACTGGGCCTTAGATTGTGACCTGAGATCTGGTGATACCAATGGTTGCTTCCTGAAGTTGGGTGTGTTACAGGGTGGGCTTCACAATTTGACCACAAAATTGGCCAAATTTTCTGATTGAGAGGGGCCTCTAATGGCATATTACATTGGATGGGGATAGAGACTGTCCCATGTTATGCAGAGTCACCTCCAGGCTCTCTCATTGGGTAAAGCTACAGGCTATGCTTCATGATTGTTTGGGCTTACTGCTAAACTGCCTGAATTGGTGAGGGCATAGGCTGTATTAGTCAATTGAATAGGGCCATTGGCACTACTGATAGAGTTACAGATCTGTTTCCATGGATCACCTGAACCATCAGCTTGTTACCATGGCTATCTGGGTTCTCTGGGTGAGATTTCTAAAGGAGCAGGACTGGCTGGCCAGCAATGGTCAGTGGTTGTGTGTGGGAGTGAATCCTGGAAAAACTTTGTTATAATATAAAATAGGGATGGGGATACCTATTTCAACTACCTGATCATCTATATATAATCTCTTTTGATGATATATTGTTGCTCATTACACAAATGACTCATCTTGTTGTGACAGTTAGTATATGTTGCCCAGACCTGAAGTTCTGTTGGAGTAAACTATCTCTTCAGCTAGCAGGCTCATCTAGTTCATTCCTAGTTTGGTCATGCTGAGAGAACTCTGCATAATCTTAGTTCAGAAAAAATGGGGTGGGGTAGGGCAGTGATCTGTCTACCAAGAGGGACAGGGGTCTCTTTTGCAGGACAGTGGGTTCAGAAGAATCTAGAATTTAGAGTTCTCAGGTGCATCTACTTAGAAAGCCCCATTCTGAGTTTCAGGGCTTGTTGTTTTCTTTATCCATAATTGGGCACAAGATGCCAACCTGAGCTTAGAATTCAGTCTTCTCTAAAGTTCTATCATTCTTTTATTTTTAAAATATATACTCCTCATCCAAGCACATGCTTAGACAGAAGAAGTGTTAGAGAGAGAGAGAGACAGAGAGAGAAACATCTATGAATTGCCTCTGGTACACATAACCCAGGACCCAGGACCGAACAAATAACACAGGTATGTGCCATGAGGCAAACCTTTCTCTGCACAGGAGGATGCTCAAACTGAGACACTCTGGCTGGGCAGAAGTCCATCATTCTTAAAATTAGGGCCTACGCTAGGCCTTCCATATTGTGTACCTTCCACATGCAGGTGGTAGTTAATATATATAAGCTTGTCATATACTCTTTTCAAAACTTTAAATGAGCTTAGAAATAGTTGAGCATGGGTTTCAATTCAGTTCAGGATATATGTCTGGGTTACAGACTCAATCCCCAGTAATGGGTTTGCAGGAGGCAGCCAAACTATGATTCTTCTCATTATTAATGTTTCTATCTGTCCCTCCCTCTCCTCTCCTCCCTCTGAAGCTAATAAAAACATATGTAAAATAGTTTTAAAAAAAGAAATAGCCATCTTCTCACACAGTCCTTATAGTTACTATTTATTTGTAAATGTTAGACAACTGCCTTAATACCTTTTCCCTATATCTCATTTATACAGGTGAATGTGTTCTGCAACTGCACTGTTTTAGTACCTCATGGACTATCAGTATTCCACCTCTTGCCAGCTGGCAAGACAGTGATCCAACTCAGAGCTCCAAGCTTATGTCTGGCTTGCTAGATCATAATGTGAAGTTGGGTTCCCTGAAAGCAAAGCCTAAGACAAAGTCTCTTTAGTCATTGATTTATTGTGAGAATTTTCTCAGGAGGAAGAGCGATAAGGGAAGCAGGACACTGTGCTGGGAAATGTGAAGCAAGGATGTGGTCATAGCTAGAGACTAGCTCAGCCATGGGGAGCACAGGAACACGAATCACTCCACATGGTTGGTTCAACCTTGGTGCTAGAAACCAACCCAAGCACAAAGAGATTTAACCTTTGAGTGAATCTGTCTCCATTTGGCCATAGTGATATACTGGGGAGAGATGGCATAAGCAGCCAATGCTCTTAGTAGCTGGGGAATGAGAAATCTTCCTGAAAGCAGGATTTTCCAGGGTATAAACAGCATCCACTACCAGTGAACTCTTCTGATTTGTTTACTGAATGGAAAAGACTTCTTTGAAATTCTTCTTAAATTTCTTTTCTGTTAGAACTGAGTCATTGTGCTGGGGGAAAAACACACACAGACAAAAATAATGACAACATCGTTCTTATTAGACAATGTGCAATGGAAAATTATCAGAAATCTTATTTTAAACACTTAAGTTACATTAAGTAGGTTAAGTTTAAAAAACTCAAGCAGCTAAACCCAGCCAGAATGGCTCTGTGGTTGAGCATCCACCTATGAACCATGAGGTCATGGTTTATTTCTGGTCAATGCACATGCCCGGGTTGTGGGCTTCATCCCAAGTGTGGGGCATGAAGGAGGTAGCTGATCAATGATTCTTTCTCATTATTGATATTTCTATGTCTCTCTCCTTCTCCTTTTCCCTTTGAAATTAATAAAAATATATTTAAAAACTAACAAAACAAAAACAACCAAATCGAAACAAAACAAAACAAAAATCTTAATCTAAGAGTATCTTTTGTTTCCTAAGAGCATGATTAAGCCTTGTTGTATAGACAGAAATGGGAAATCATTACTACACAGATGATTCTTAGTCATTGGCTTTGGTTCATTTATTTTAGTAAAAGTTAGAAAAGTAATCTAAGCCTTAGTGATAATCAAATATTACATATGTACAATCAATGATTTTCCTTTTACATTGTCAATTCTATTCCCCTCTGGTGATATGTTATATGGTTCACTGACATGCAAAGAAATCTGCATTTTGAGGCCTCTGAGAGGTTTGACTGAGTATATTTGGGGGAGAGATAAGAAAGATAATATGACTTTAGGAAGCAATTTTCTCCTTAGGTTTGGAACAGGCAGAGCATCACTGTTTTCAATGGGCACCTGTCAACTTTGAGGAGAGGAGTAAGCTCTCAGGGGCCTAGAGTCTGGCTGCAGGGACAACTCATTATTCACTGTTGTTCTCTCTGGTGAGCTTTAATCCTCAATTAAATAATCCAGCCACTCCCTGAATCCTTGCTTGTATAGGCTTGTCATTGGATGAGGGAAACTCTAAAATCTCACAATATCAGGAAATGCAGGGAGAATGACTCAATGTGTAGGAAATGAAATGGATGTAGGGAGAGCCACTTACCTTAGAATCCTGAAAAATGTTGTTTATGCCAAGCACAAACTCATTCACTTTGGTAAAACATCCTCCATTTAATTTATTCTTGATTTCATCCAATGTCCTAAGTGTCTGTAGGCATTGAGAAGCTTTTTGAACCTGGTGAAAAATATGTCAATAGAAGCATTACTGACAAAGTTCAATGTCTACATTCTGTGGATTTTCATAACATCTAGAGGAAATACAAGGTAAATGGAAAGACAGGTCACATGCTTTCCCACACATGGGCTTCATATCACAGATCCCACAGTGACCATGTCAAGGTGGGGTAACATTACAGAAGCCTAAAATCATGGTTTGTTGTTACTCACATAATGTTCATCTGGAATATTCTGAAAAATGTTTTTCTCTAAATGACAATAGAGCTTTAGGAGGAGGAACACACATTTCTGCAAAAGAAGGAGATTGTGAATGAAAAGCAGCTTGGCGAGAATGAGCCCATATGCATGCCCCGACAGATGCATGATCACAGTAGACTTCTGGAAGTTTCCCCAAACAGGGATTGCTCTTGGACAGTAACATGCAACAGCTGAGTAGTTCTTTTTTCTTTTTACTTTTGCAAACAGGTTCTGGTGAATTTTCAGAGTGGTAGAGGCATGGTCAGAAGAGCAGGCACCCTTTGCAACCCTTGCCCTCACCCCTGACTGTTTGACTTCTCATTTGAGTAGAAAGGAGATGTTTTGGATCAAATCCAACTCACCGACTTCTCTTCAGGCCCCATCTGTCTCAATAGGACTTCAGAATAGCTGGCATGCTGCTGACTTTGTGGAGACTCTTCTATTGTGCAGAATGTACATAGCCAATCTTTCCTGAGATGTCAGATATTAGTGAGCAAGGCAAGCCTAGAAACACCTTCGTTCCCACAGCTGCCACTGGTCTCCTTCCAGGAATGGCTGATGGACACAGCCAGGGAATGAAAGATCACCCCCCAGAAGCTCTAGCACTCTTATGTGATAACCTTGGACCCTAGAATAACAGCAGGGGGTCTATTGGGTGGAAGATGGTGTCTGGGTGAGTGATGGGATCCCCTTTTACTTTCTGAGATGCTAGGAACACCGAGCCCGTGTGTCAGAGAGTGGGCCTTAACCTCTGGGGGCCTTGTGTCTCTATTAGTCTGCTGAGAACATGGCAAATTGAGGGAAAATGTCCCTGTTTGCTGCCTTTTCTGAATAAGCACAGAACACAAGTAATTGGCACTGGTGCTTCTGTGTACAGGAGTCCAAGGTGGGAAAGTTCTGGAAAGGACAGTAGTGGTATATAGACAAAGGACCCAGCTACCCGTCTCAACCTGCCAGGAGAGAGAGGGGACCATTTCTCTCCTGTTGACAGTATCTTTAAACAGCTCCCACATCATATAGTTGGACACTGTACCTATGACTCTGCTCTTTCCCCATCAGGGCATAAAAAGAGACTTTGCATTGAGATTGTGTATGGCAGGAAGAAGGTCTGTAGAAAGATAAGGGTGTGAATCTCACAAACCTCTCAAGTTCCACAGGGGGGATGTGACAGTCCTCGTGAAAGAAGCTGAGACAAAAACTGCATTTGAAGATCTTTCCTTCATCTCCACAGATATTGCATTTTTTTTCCAGCTAGAAGATAAAATAATATCTGTATCCCCAGTGAGACCTTAAAGACCTTCTCTGTGGGAATCTGGAACTCATTGCCTTAGTAGAAACCTGAATGAACAGTTATGTGCTTCCCCTTGAGCTATGAACCAACTGAAAGGAGTAGAGTTTCAGAAAAAGAATTCTTGGTTGTAATGAAGTTCAGGAAGAGTGGCCTGCGTGACCAGAAAAGGTTTTCCTATAAAACCATAATCTCTTTGTCCTAATAGGTTTGGCTCAGTGGATAGAGTATCAGCCTGTGGTCAGAAGAGTCCCAGGTTTGATTCCGTTCAAGGGCATGCACATTGGTTGCAGGCACATCTCCAGAGGGGGTGTGTAGGAGGCAGCTGATCAATGTTTCTCTTCATTGATGTTTCTAACTCTCTATTCCTCTCCCTTCTTCTCTGTGAAAAATCAATAAAATATATTTTAAAAACAAACAAATAAAAAACCCAAACAAACCAGAGTCTCTAACATAGAAAGACTATCTACAAAAGAAGAGATTGATTTTTATAGAAATGTGAACCAGTGTATTATTTTGCAACTAAAACAAAGTCCTGGAACAAAATGATTTGTCTGAACCATAATGACTAAAATCACTCAAGGAAAGGTGGTTTATTGAGAAACTGATAAGATGCAATAAACTTCTAAGACAGTTTTACATCCTATTTTCTTGACTGAAGGCTCCCCATGAGTTGAAGGGCTGGGTAGGAGTTCCTGGACTGTGGATTCTGTACCTGGAGGGCCCCTGGACCTGTGACAGTGTCTTTGAGTTGGAAAGACCACAGGCACAGATGACAAGCTTGTGCCAGGGAGGATAGAGCTCTTTGGCACTAGAACTCTGGGAGGATGTCCCCTGATTCAGTGTGGCATGTAAGGTAGGGAGTCTCCATCACTGAATGGCCAGAGAGGGTGACAATTGCTTTGTTCTATAAACAGAATATGGAGCGACCCCCTTAAACAACTGATACTGGATTTATTACCATTCTTAATGTATGGCCTTTAACCATGTTTAATTTCATTTGAAGAAAATACAAATTCAATAGTATTGCCATCCAAATCCTTTGGCATAGTTTCTACTCATTGAATCCAACCAAATTTATAGAGCACATATGAAGATACACTGTGTTATATACAAACATGTATTCATGAGAAATAGCTGGCTTGTGACTGAGCCCTTTCCTAATCAAGAAAATACAGTGTAAGGACTTACATTAAAGTTCAATATTATGTGCTGCTGTGACATTTGAGAAGGTAAAATTGAGAAGGCTTTGAACAGCTTATCTGCAAGTTCCCTTCCCAAAACTGCTCTCCTGGATAAGGTCCCACAGCTAAACAATGCTCCTTGTCAAGGAGCCACATGTAACCCTGCTCAGCCTGGAATAACAAGTTTTAGTTCCCTGTCAGCCATGGAATTATTTAAACAAGCATGCCATAACCTCCCAGGGAAACCAGGGGATACCCCACTCTACACAACCCCTGTTTGTTCCCTCTGTTCCTGGGGGAATCCTTGGTGAGACCTGCATGGCTGGTACTGCCCTCTTTCCTTGGTTTAGAAGTATATGAAACTAATAAACATCTGTCAATCCACCTGTCCAGTGACAGTTGCCATTACTTGCTTTCCCCCAAACTATGTGGTAGACATCCCTCCCTTCTCAATGGGGTGAAAAGGAGGTGATTAAACCAGAAAAACCCTTTATTCTTTCTTTTAAATGAGAATCATCATTTACATATGAATCAGGAACTATCAGGAACTATATTTGATCCTGGTTGCTTTCCTGGTTCTGCCTTCTGAGAGAATACAGAAGATTATGTGTTGCTGGATAGATAGAAACATCCTGTCTAACCCATTGTCTATTGGAGAAATTCCTACCCTCTTGTGACCATTTCAGATGACACAAATGAGATTGGCTTGGGGACTGGCCCACCCACTGATGAGTGCTGGGGGGAGGCAAAGTGATTCATTGATGAGCAGGAGGAGGCAGGGATGACAGTGTCCATCTTTCCTGGCCATGACCATTTCTTCTTTCTCTAAACACATGGGGTTGGTGCCATCACTCTCCTGGGTTTAGTCAATTAGCCTCACTGATATATCTGTTTCCTTTTTTGTCCTCTCCTCTCCTAACATTTAGACATAATCCCCTAGGTTTTGATCTTTGGCCATTTGATTGGCCTCAGATGATCAAATCACTCTCAAAGATGCAGGTACATTGCCGTGTCCCAGCTCCCAAATGTCCATCCTGTCTTCTGCATTTGTGCACATCCCTATGCTCACCCAGCATCTCTTCCTAGGCTCTTAAAGCACACCCCAAACTCATCCAGGCAAAACAATGTATTATCCTGTCCCCACACTCACTACATGTTCTTTCCTGGTGTTTCAATTTCATAAAACATTCACCTTTGTCCACAAAGCCAAAACTCCATTCTGAGCCTATACTCTCACTCATATTCCAAATCCTACATGTGCCCACTCTTTTTCACAGTAACTGTCAAGCTCCTTCTAATAGTTCCATTGTCTTTGTACAGGGATACTGAGACTAATGAATGGTTCCACCTTAATACATAGGGAAAAGTGGTCTGTTTCTCAAAGTATTATATTTGGGTTAGCAACACACAAAAAATCACAAATGTCCATCTTGAAGTAAATGGGCACAGTAATGTGCACCACAGCTTTGTTGTTTCTCTTCATGTAGAATGTAATAAAAGAAGAAAAGTCACCCTGGCTTTAGTGTGAAAATTCTTACCTGGGGAGAATCAGGAGTCTGGTAATTTCTTTTGCTTTTAAAAATGGCCTTATATGAGAAAGTGCAAAGCTCAAGGAACATCTTCCCAACAGTTCCCATTCAGTGTTCCAGACCATCCTGAATCACATATTTAATGGAGTCTGAGACTAGTTCTAACATAGAGGCCTGGGGCCATTTTCCTTCTCACTGTAGGGGCTCACAGATTGCTATCATCGTTCTCCAGAAATTGGTGACCCTCTTCCCAGAAGAACAAGGAAATACCAAATGTAACCAGTGCACAAGAATCTTGCATCCCTATCTGTAATAAAGTCTAGGGCCTTTTCCCTTAGGCTTTTTGCATCTTAGCTTGGCTGCACATTGGAATTATCTGAGGAGAGTATATAAAACACTAATTTTCTGGTCCCAACATCATAGATGTTGAATCGATTGGTCTGGTTTGAGGCACAGGCACTGGTATTCTCTTTAAGTCATAGAATGACTAACTTGTGTGTCAAAATCATCTTTAACAATTCTAATGTCCAAGTCATCACTCAGAATGATTAAATCAAAATTTTATCTATAGTAGGATCAGACAACGCTCTTTTTCAAAGATTTTTAGGTGATTCTAGAGTGCAAAGTGTGAAACCTGAGTTGATATTTAGTTTCACACATGTGGTTATTAATGCATGAGGATATTATAAGCCAATGCTGAAGTGGCCTATACTATCTTTCTTAGGAAAGATTATTAAGAAGAGTGAGGGTATACTTGTTAGAACAATTGACTTTTTCTCCCCATGAGTCTTGATCATGTGTAGTGTGACAAGAACTCCATCACATACAGCAACTCTTCTAGGGCACCACTCTAAATTTAAGATGATTTCAAAGCTCCTCTGTACTCCATTTCAACTTCCTGACGTTCACCCTCATTTCCCTTTCATCCATAACTGAAGATGACACCTGGCTAATTTTTCAGAGGAAACTCATGATTAGGTACAAAACCTAAGTTGCTCTTGTTTGCCCAGTAGAATGACTTGGCTTCATTAGCTTCAGGAAACCTCAGCTTTTATCTCCACCCAGGTCAGAGAGTTCATAGACAAAGGTGATCCCCTGAAAAATTACCTGAGAAATGGTCATGTCACTGCCTGCCTCTCTGGAGAGCCTGGAATACTCTGCTCCCCATTAATTATTTCTCCAAGGTAAACAATGAAATTGAAACAATTCTTGAAGTCAGGGATATTATTTCAATCTTCTGTAATGAACATTGGGATTTTTTTAATGCATTAAATAATTGCATATTGTATGAGTAAATAAATGAGTATTATTTCATTTAGGAAAGGTGCTTACTTGCTATCTCTTTAACAAATACTAACATAAAACCAATAATAGTCTGGCTGAGTATTTCAGATAATTTGACAAGATAGTAGCTGTCACCAGAAAGGATGAGTGGCCCTCATTAAGAGACAGGAAGTTGTCATGTGGTGCCAAGTGTGACACTAAAGTTTTGAGAAACCAGGACTCCATCATCAAGAGAAGCTCTGGGAGGCACAGAGGATCCACTGAGGTAGTAATGAGTCCCAATCTTCTTCATCAAGGAGACACAAAATATAGGGGCAATGGAACCTTGCTGCTGCAAAGTGCTGTGGGTTAGAAGTTGCTAGCTCTTTTTGGTACTCAAAATTGAGTAATTCTAGACACATAGAAAATGATAGAGATATTACTTTTTAAAGTAGTCACTGAATAAGTAAAAGAATAATTTATCTTCAGTAAACCCAATGGGTATAATGTGCCAAGGACTGGTAGGTCAAAAGTCCTAGAACATCAGACAATCAAAAGGCCTAGAGAACTATATGTAACTTAATGTACATTCTATGAAAGTCTTGCATGGCCATTTCTACCTGAAGTATGTGGGAATGGCACTTTTCACCTCCCCCTTCCTCTTAAGCTCTCATTCATAGTTAATCTTGAAAAAACTATCACTTTGTCCTGAAGCTACACCTCACATTATGTATTTTGTCCCCATAGCCTTTGTCCATAGAAGGAGAAGTCACTTTATAGATATTCAGGAGGCCTGCACCATTCCTGAGGTGGAGCCAAAGGGTTGGTATCAAAGTGACAAGAAATTCTCCATGTCAGCCCCTCATGTAAGACACAAAAACTCCCTCCTAACAGCACCATCCTTAGGAAGTATTTGCCAGTAATTTCTGCCTGAGAGAAAATTTTGTATGTCTGTGTGTATATTTTATAGAAGAATGAAAGATGATATAAAACAAAAGCAGAAAAGAAATATGTTTTTAGTTGCCTCTTTCATGAATTAATGTATGGTTTCATATATGTCCCAAGATGGACTCAGTACTAAACCCAGTTCATCTGGATGATGGTAATCAAATTTTGCTTCATCAGATTTTATTAAAGTTATTTAAAAAAATCTGGTCTGAGGTAAAGATGAGCTTGTGACCTTATTAAGAAATATTTTTATAAATTTCATAATCATGTCAGCTTTATAAATTGGTCGTCCTGAAAATTTCTGCACTTATAGCTAAAACTCAGCTTTGAGATCTATTTTGATGACTATTATCCTCATCTCAAATAGTTTACCATTCAAAGATGACCTTGCATTTAACCTAATATTCAATGGAACAAATCTGAAAGCACACACAAAATAAATAAATTAAATAAAATGAAGGGAGGAGCTAGGGGAAGAGGCAACAATTTCTCAATTACACAACTGAGAACCCATAAAAAAGATGAGATACAATCCTATATAATAAAGAGGTAGTATGCAAATTGACCATCAATCCAACACACATGATGGCTGCCCACACATGGACACAAGATAGCCACCACAAGATTGCCTGGAAGGGGAGGGCAATTATGGGAGATCAGGCCTACAGGGGAAAGCAGTTAGGGGTGACCGAGGCAGCATGGAAGGGCAGTTAGTGGCGACTGGGCCTGCAGGGGAGGCAGTTGGGGGTGACAGTACTGGCAGGGAAGGAAAGTTAGGGGCAACCAGGCCTGCAGGGGAGGTAAGTTGGAGGTGACCAGACCAGCAGAATAGGGCAGTTAGGGATGACTGGGCAGGCAGGGGAGGGCTGTTGGGGGCAACCAGGCCTGCAGGGGAGAACAGTTAGGTGTGACCAGGCTGGCAGGGGAGTGGTTAGGATTTGATTAGGCTGGCAGGCAAAAGCAACTGGGGCAATCAGGCAGGCAGACAGGCAGGCAGGCAGGCAGGCAGGCAGGCAGGCAGTTGGGAGCCAGTAGTCCTGGATTGTGAGATGGAAGTCCAACTGCCCCTTCAGGCTTGATCCCATTAGGATCATGCCTAAACAAGCAGTCAGACATCCCTTGAGGTGTCCCAGATTGGAGAGACTGGGCTGAGGAACACAAACCTTTTTCCCACTTGCACAAATATTGTGCATGACCCTATGTTATATATTTAGTTATGTAATAAGAACTTGTATATTTTATCCTTAGTTTTCATTGTCCTAGGAGATGTATTGGTAAACATATTGCTATGAGAGATATCAGAAGTTTTGTTGCCAATTATTTCTTCTAAGACTTTTATGGTTTTATGTCTTACACTTATGTCTTTTATCCATACTATATTTAATCTTGTGTATAGTGTAAGTTTGTGATCTAGTTTCATTTTTTTGCATGTACCTGTCCAATTTTCCCAACAACATTTATTGAAAAAACTGTTTCTGTTCCATTGTACGCTCTTGCCTCCTTTGTCAAATATTACTGAGCATAGTGGGTTGATTTCTGATCTATTCCATTGATCTACATTAAAATAAAAAGCTTCAGTACTACAAAAAAAATCATCAACAAAATAACACTACACATTTGCAAATTATATATGCAATAAGGAGTTAATCTCCAAAATATATAGAGAAGTCATACAACTTAACAAAAGGAAGCCAAATAATCCAGTTAAAAATGTCAAATGATCTTTATAGACATTTCTCCAAAGTGGACATAGAGAAAAATACTCAAAGTCACTAATCATCTAAAAGATGCAAATCAAAATGGCAATGAGATATCACCTCACACCTGTCAGAATAGCTATCATGAATAAATCAACCAATGTCAAGTATTGTCAAGATTGTGGAGCAAAGATAACCCTAGTACACTGCTGGTGGGTATGAAGACCGGTATAGCCATTATGGAAAACAGTATGGAGTTTTTTCAAAAAATTAAAAATGGAAATACCATTTGACCTAGTGGTCCCACTTGTAGGAATATATCCTAAGAAACCTGAAGCACTCATCAGAAAGAATACACACATCCCTATGTTTGTAGCAGCACAATTCACAATAGCTAAGATTTGGAAACAGCCTAAGTGCCCATTGCAGATGAGTGGAATAAAAAACTGTGCTACATCTACACAATAAAATGCTATTCTTCCATTAAAAAAAGTAAATTTTACTATTTGTAACAGCATGGATGGAACTGGAGAGAATTATGCTAAGCAAAATAAGCTAGTTGGAGAAAGATGAGTATCACATCATGTCACTCATATGTAGCATATAATAATTATCATAAACTTATGAGCATAAATAGATCCAGAGACAAGGTAGCACTGAACAGACCATGCTACCTCAGAGAAAAGGCAGGGAGGGGGATATAGAGATCAACCAAAGGACTTGTATGCATGCATATTAGCATAACCAATGGACATAGACCCTGGGGTGGTTGGGGCTTGTCCTTGGGGGTGATAGTGGAGGGAGAAGATATTGGGGGAAAGGAGACATATGTAATACTTTAAACAATAAATAAAAATTCACATATGAAATTATCATATAAAAATAAAGATTTGGAAACAACCTAAGTGCCCATAAGCAGATGAGTGAATAAAAAAATGATGGTACATTTACACAATGGGACACTATATGGCAATAAAAAAGAAAGAACTCTTACCATTTGCAACAACATGGATGGACCTGGAGAATATTATGCTCAGAGAAATAAGCCAATCAGAGAAAGATAAGTATCACATGCTCTCACTTCTATGTGGAATCTAATGAACCAAATAAACTGATGAACAAAAATAGAGCCCAAGACATAGAAGTATGAAAAGACTGTTGAACCTTAGAGGGAAGGCAGGGGAGGGTGAGTGGGAGAAGATCAACCAATGGATTTGTATGCATATACAATTGTCTGTGGAAACAGACAATTGGGTGGTGAGAACCTGTGGGTGTGTGGGGTTGTAGGGATAGGAGCAGGCTGGAAGAGGTTAGTGGGGGGCAAAAGGAGACCTATACAATACTTTTAACAATAAAGATGAAAGAAAAGAACTTGTATAAAGTAATAACTACCTTCCTCTTCCTGTCATGTGGAGGTTGAGGTAAATATCCACTCTGAAAGAGTAAAAGATACAAGGATATGGTTAGCCTGTGTTTATGTTTTGTACATTTCAACCTCCTCCTAAATATTTCTACTTGGATGTTCCACTGTCAGCTCAAACCAAGATGTCTAAATGAGAAATCATTTCATCTCCTCAAATGTTCTAGAATTTAACAATTGTAGCTGGAAAATCCTCCTTAGAATTTTTCCCTTTCTTTTGTGTTCTTATTTAATTAAGTTTTCATTTCCTTCACAATCTTTTTTTCTTCTTTTTAAAAAAATATATTTTATTGATTTTTTTACAGAGACGAAGGGAGAGGGATAGAGAGCTAGAAACATCGATGAGAGAGAAACATGGACCAGCTGCCTCCTGCATGCCCCCTACCAGGGATCTACCTGCAACCAAGGTACATGCCCTTGACTGGAATCGAACCTGGGACCCTCCAGTCCACAGATCGATGTTCTATCCACTGAACCAAACCGGTTTTGGCTCCTTCACAATATTTTTGATAGTTTCACTTCCTTTTCATTCTCACTGGTGCCACTTAAGTACTTCATAACACCAGGGTTGATCAACTGACACACACATGTCCCACAACTATGGGACATGCACAATGTTGGGCACACAAAGATGTATAAACCCTAGAGGGATCTAGGAGAGCAAGGGGTTGCATGAAAGGATAAGTATAAAACTGTGAGAAGGGCCTTAATAGTGGTGTCAGGGGGCCCAGGGAAGGGATGACAAGTCAGGTCAGTCAGAGAATATTCGGTTAGGGCATTGTAGGGTCACTATAAGTATCTAAGGCTGAAAGACAGTGAAGTCATTTCTGGGCCCATGTTGTCTGAGATCGGGTTTTAAATATGTCATTTCACACCTCAGGAGACTTTCCTGATTCTGCATTGTCTATGCTATGAGTTTCTTTAGTCTGGCTTTAAATTCTTCCAATAAATTACAATTGGTGGATTATGCCTTATCACACGCAATCCATCTACCTCAACCCATGGAGCCATGTTAGTCAAGGTTCTGGAGTGCTTTCTGATCACTTGTTTGACTGTAGATGGTCTCCTTTCTTTCAGTGGCTAAAGTTGTCTGCAAGCACCTGAGTCAGAATGACCTTTCCTTCCTCCAGGCGCCTGCACCTACCCCAACCCAGCCCCTTTGACATCAATGTGCTGCCTTGTACTGACTTAAAAGTGTGGGGCACCTCCCTGCAAGACAAGGATAAAATGAGGGGACCTCAGGAATCTAGCCATGACTCAACATATATTTGGTGAGAAAATAGTGACCTTTTCTTCAAGTAAAATGAAAGTCATATCTCCGGACCCGTCATTGAAATACCTCGATCAGCCATTTTAGTGATCTCCCACGGCAGTACACAGTGCTCTTCCAGTTGCTTGCTTTTTCATAGCCTCCTTCACCTTCAAATTCTCTGGGAGTGCACCACTTTCCGTCCTCTGTCCTTATACACTTCACCGTGGCTCCTGTAAGACCAGGATAAGTTGATCCTGAAACCTCATGTCCTCAGAGCTCAAATACTAGATCTGCAGCTACTCAATTTGGGGTCAAGATCACTAGCAGAACAGTCTGGCCTGACCTTTCAGTCTTGAGAATCCCCAAACCTGTAAGTCTCTTGTAAGGATATCTCCTACTTTGGATTGAAATCTCAAGTGGGGACCCTGCCCTGCTGCTCACAATGACACTAAGGTAACATCTGTGCCCTGTATTACAATAATTTTCCTCCAGTTCAATGGCATTATTGAGCAGATATTTTTCTTACGTGAAGTCATGAATAACTGACTTTAAAATAATTGTGAAATATTATCCAGTGGAAAATTTTACTAATATATAGACTATAGGTTCAGTGCACAAAATTTGTGCATGGGGGAGAGGTTTCCCTCACCCTGGCCGGCACCCTCTCTAATCTGAGGCCTCTTAAGGGTTGCCAATTGCCGATTTAGGCCTGATCCCTGTGTGCAGTCGGACATCTCTCTCACAATCCTGGATTAATAGCCAGGCTTGAGTGATAAAAAAGCTCAGAAGAAGCCTGAAAAAAAGAATAGTTCTGATACGATAAATAGAATTATTCTTAGTGAAGTCCCTTTTGTAGAATTGGCTTATGGTGTCCTTGGAATGTGCCTTCTTGAATGATAGCCGGTCATCATTGATATATGGTTAGTATATTTGTAATTAAGCCAATCAATAATAAAAGTGTTGAGTTAAAGTGAAATCATATAACTAGGTCAGAAGTTAGGAGAAGAGCTGAGATTTCTATAATAACTGCTGGCTTCTAACTGATTGCCAGCCTGCCTGCCTGATTGTTTTTAACCACTTCTGCCTGCCAGCCTGATCACTCCCCTAACTGATCCCCTGCCTGCCTGATTGATGCCTAACAGCTCCCTTGCCAGCCTGATCACCCACAACTGCCCTCCCCTGCAAGCCATCTTGTGATGGTCATCTTGTTACAGCCATGTTGTGACAATGTGAGGGCAGCCATCTTGTGGTGGCCATCTTGTGATGCTGTTGCGTGTTACAGCACCTAGGCTTTTATTTTAAAGGATAAAATATACTTAAATACTTAACAACATTATTTCATTAGAGAAAATAAAATAAAAACCTTATTGAGATACCACATCATGTCCTCTAGGATAGCTGTAATGAAAAAGACAGACAATACCAACTGTTGATGAGGATGCAGAGAAATGAGAGCCTTCAGATTTTACTAGTGGGAATATAAACTGGTGCTATACTATGGTGAATAGTTTTGATTTGTTTTTTCAATAAGTTCAACATAGAATTACCATATAATCCTGCAATTCTACTCCACAGTATACAGTGAAAAGAATTAAAAAAAAATCTAGGTTCACCAAAATCTTTATTCAAAACATAGTTATTCATAATAGTGAAAGGGTGAGAAAACCTAAATTGACAGATAAACATATTACCGTGTCTCCACACCACGGACTATTATATTATTTGATAATAAAAAAGAATAAAGTATAATGCTTGATATATATGTATGAACCTGGAAAACATCATGCTAAGTGAAAACCAGTCATATAGAAAGGCACATATTATGTGAGTCAATTGATATGAAATATTTAGAATAGTCCAGTTTATAGATCATAAAATAGATGAGTGGTTGCATAGGGCTGGCTGGTAGGGTGAGGTGGGAATGGGTATCAACTACTGAGAGATATGGTGTTTGTTTTAGTGGAGGACAAAACTGTTCTAAAATTAGTTTATAATGATGGTTTTATAATCTTGTGAATAAAACAAACAGAAACAAAAAGCTCAACAATAAATTCTATACTTTAAATGTTGATTTATATATGAGAGTTACATCTCAGTAAGCTGTTTAAAATTAGTTTTGATGAAACATTTATATTATTTTCACATACCCACATTACAACTAATCTGATATGAAATTAATCATAATAGATAATCATTGAAAAGCTTTATAATGTTCAAATCACAAAATATTTTATAGTCATTATGTACATTATCTCAAAGTCACACCAGGAGGCAGGTTTTTAAATGATTTTCCATATATTGTATGAGAAGTTTCAGGCTCAGAAAAGCCCCATTCTTGGTGGAGCTGAGGCTGGGGCTCAGGTTTTCTGATTCTATATTTTGTGAACTTCTCACTATAACACCTTGTCATGTTGATGATTTCTAGAAGGGGTAAATGATATGAAGGTGGAGGCTGATTCAGAGTAAAGTATGCAATATTTTCTACCCACAGACTGATGTTTCTTAACTTCTTTTTGGTTCTTTGGGCATCCATGTGAAAGTGAGCACTTAATCTGCACCATTTCTTAAAGTGTAAAAATTTCATTTTAGGAAACCCTACCTCTTTTCAAGACAAAACTGGGGCTGCAATTCCTTAAACAATGGGTAATTTACTTTTTGTGATTCTTTCATGGAGGGGTTATAGGTGAAAGTAGACCTTGAAACTTACCTCGTTGCAATTTTCTCTTAATTAATATGCCCATCACATCCCCACAGGTCACAGGAAGTATTTCAGCATTAAAATTCCCAGTCTCTTCTGTGTGCATTGTTGTCCCTGAAAGAGAAGATTTTCATTATGTCTCATTTTACAACTGCACAAGTATAACTTCCTCCCATGTTGAGGTTGTTTCTATAAAGACATAGGAGTACTTAGAAAACTTTATTCCACAAATCTCCAGTTTCAAAGTCTTTCTGTCAGTGGCATTTTTGATGCATAACATTAGAATGCTTACCTTCATCTCACCTCTCAAATTTCACACAATCAGAATGTCTGAGCAGAGAAATCAGCCTTCTATAAAACTATAGTAATTATCAATGCAGTCACCCTCTCCCCTGATTCTTAGATGACAATGAAACATACAGCTGCTGTCATGTTCTTCTTTTTTAAAAAAATATATTTTATTGATTTTGTACATAGAGGAAGGGAGAGAGATAGAGAGTTAGAAACATCTATGAGAAAGAGTCATTGATCAGCTGCCTCCTGCACACCCCCCACCGGGAATGTGCCCGCAACCCAGGTTCATGCCCTTGACCAGAATTGAACCCGGGACCCTTCAGTCCCCAAGCTGACGCTCTATCCATTGAGCCAAACCGGTCCTGGCATGCTGTCATATTCTGAAGGTAGATCTCCATCTATGCTCACCCAGTGCAGTTAGGTAGCTGGAGACAAAATCAGGCACTATATTTGTATCTCCCCGTTTGAGCTCTGACTCAGGGAGAGGATAATGATGAGTTAACCCTGAAGATAGTGTCTACCTGCTCTTTGTGTTCTCTACTTTGCTTCATTTGTGGCACACATCAACTTTCTCAAAGCTAAAAGAGGAGTGGAGGAAGCTCAAGAACAATTTGCAAATTGCATGACTGGTCAGACCTTTACAGTCTTACAATGCTGTGCACTTCATAAAAAGCTACACCCAATGCTCTGATCATCTAATTCTATGACCTCATCTCCTCCTGTCCACACACTTTCTATTATGGTTCTTTTGTCACTGAAGGAAGCTATCCCCAATCTAGGCAGAAAGGGATAGGTCCTTCCTGCATTGTGATCAGGACACAAGTGGTGGGGAATTAATGGCATTATATAGACCAATTGTGAAAATATTGATTCTGTTCTGATCATTGCTGGTGAGGATGCATTGTTCTTGCCCACTCTTTAGAAGCCTAGAGATTTTGGGTAGAATTTTGGTTAAATTTTTTGGAAATGTCTTTGCCCTGCTTGTTATCTGACCCTTCTGGATAAAAAATGTGAGTGACAATAGGAGATTGTTGGAATGAAAGATGAAGAGATGAAGTTACAGCCAATGGAATGGTACATACTATATTTTTTCTCCCCTGCCACAATATTTTTGGGAGTGAAGGAAAAGCAAAAGACCCAGGCACCTGAGGAAGAAACACCTAGGAGGTGTGAGAGGTGGAAGAGCATTAACCATATTTGTCTATCAAGACTGTCCTGAAGGAAATCACTCTGTCTAGCTCTTTCACCAAATATGTAGATGGTGAGTCTGCCATTCCCCATCAGATGTGATGAATCAGGGGCTGCTGCCAGTATCAGCATCTCTCAAACAGAATATTTCTGGACATAGTCCCCTCACTGATTCTCAGTCATTGGATGAAGAGTTGCAGGAGACATTATGGAGAAATAGAACAATTTGGGTTGACTGTCTTGCCCCCATCTCCTCAAAAACTCATCAAGAATGAACAGAGCTGAAAACTTTAAGGTTACAGGTGATCAGGGACCCAACCCTATCCATGGCTGATATATTCCCGTTAGGATCCCAAACAATTTATAAATGCATCTTTTTCAGGATCACCATGTGTGCCTTTAGGATCGCATTTCTTGTGTGAAAGCTAGGCATTCACTTGCCTCCTTCATGCAACCATGGTGACTTGCACCATAGAGGTGGTCATAGGAGACCTAAAAAATGTGGTTTAGAAAATTTGTTAAATTCTGAAGGATACAATCTGTAATATGTTACTAGACTCAGGTTCATCTTGGCTGGTGGAATGGTGACCTCACAGGGAAATAGCCAGATGTTCTTTGAGAGATGAATTTGTTGGGACAAAATTCTGCATGGAATTCCACATGCCATGGAGTTTCTTTTCAAGAATTTGTGAGTAGCAAAGAGTTTTGGAAGCTCAAGTTAATGTAGCTCCCTAAGTCAGAGGGCAAATTTGTTTTCTGACCAGCATAAAATAGAAAGCATGTCCCTCTTAATTATCCCAGGATAGTAGTTTCCTCCATAGAGGAGAGCTGTTTAAGTTCTAGGGTGATGGTCATATTCTGTCTCTTGATAATGATTAGGATTTTAAAGGAGACATTTAAATCAGAATCCATAGAATGATGCATTTAGTATTTATACATCTCATTGTAAATATTACCTCAGGGAAAAAAAAAGAACTAAAAACAAATATTGAATCTAGTTAATGATATCTATGCTGAAGTGTTTGGGGGAAAGTGCATTATTGCCTGAAACTTTAAAATGTTTTAAAGTTGAAGACAGTTAGGGATGAATAGGGAAATGGATAGATTGACAGAAATGAGATAAAGCAAGCACAATACATGCTAACTGTGAGTCTATGTTTACTGTAAAATTATTCAAGTTTCCAGTAGCATTAAAGCTTTCATAATTCAAAAGTTGGAAAAGGATATTTTGGTAAGAAAAATAGCTTATTAACAAAAAAAATGACAATTAAAATACAAGAAGAATATTCATCAGCAACACAATAGAATCTAGAAGACAATGCAGTAATCATCTATACCAGTGGTTGGCAAACTCTGGCTCGGGAGCCACGTGTGGCTCTTTGGCCTCTTGACTGTGGCTCTACCACAAAATACCACATGTGAGCACACATGTTTAGTGTGATTGAAACTTCGTGGCCCAGGCACAGAAGTAGGTTTTCGGCTCTCAAAAGAATTTACAATGGTTGTACTATTGATATTTGGTTCTAATGACTAATGAGTTTGCAGACCATTGATCTACACTAATAAGAGGATATGCTAATTAGATTGGGGGACCTGCTGGACATCATTCCAGACAAAGCCATAGGGGTGGGGCCAAAGCAGAGGCAGTGAGCCATGATCATATCTGCGGGGGTGGGAGCGGGGAGGAGGGCAATTGAGGGCGATCAGGCCAGCAGGGAGGGCATTTGTTGGTGATTAGGTCTGCAGTGGGGGGCAGTTGAGAGTGAGCAGACCAGCACAGGGGAAGTTGCTAGCAAGCAGGCTGGCAGGGGGGCAGTTGGTTGAGAGCAGGCTCATGGGGGGGAATCTAGGGGTGGTTAGGCTGGAAGTGGGGACAGTTGGGGGCAATGATTTTGGCAGTCAGAGTGGTTAGGGGTGATCAGGTAAGGCAGGCAGGTGAGCGGTTAGGAGCCAGTTGTCCTGCATTGCTAGAGGCATGTCCGACTGCCAGTTTAGGCCTGATCCTTGTGAGATCCTTGTGGGACTGGGCTTAAACTGGCAGTAGGAGAGGGTGCAGGATGCCAATAAGCATTCTGAAGGATTGCCTTCCTCCCACACATGAATTTCATGCACAGGGCCTCTAGTATTAGTATATTGAAGAGAACTAAACATTGACCTAGAATTTATAATCTTGGAAAAACAATTCTTTCTGCAAGGTATTGCTTAGTTGGTTGGAGTGCTGTCCCTTGCACAGAAAGGCTGTGTGTTTGATTCCTGGTCAAGCCCCATAACTATATTGCTGGTTTGGTCCCTGATCAGTTGGAGCCCATACAAGAGGCAAATGATCAATATTTCAATGTTTCTCTTCCATATGAATTTCTACATATCATCTATCTATCTATCTATCTATCTATCATCTACATCTATCTAATATCTACATTTATCTATCATCTACATCTATCTATCATCTACATCTATCTATCATCTATTTTCCTCTCTCTATAGAAAAATCAATAAAATATTATTTTTAAATAAAGGCAAATTTGCACATATAACATTTAGACACCCTGACTGAAAGAACCAATAATTCATTCAGCTAGACCAAAGTTGAAATCAAAGAAAGAAACAATGGTGAGTTCATAAAATAATGAAAATTTTAAGTAAATGATAATGTTTCAAAATTTATAATGAGAAGAAAATTAGTAACAAAATATTAATATACAATAGCTAAATGATAGAGATGGGATGTTGAATTTGAGGGAATCCTCGATAATATTTTTGTCATCTGTTGAGATTAAGGCATGGTTAAAGAAATTACAGAAAATTTACCTCCAGTTTCCAATCCAGTAGAGAAAAAAGGTAAAATATAGGATTCTATCTCAATCATTCAGAAAGAAGAAAAGAGACAGAAACACACAAAAATAATGAGTAGCAATAATATTGATATATAACTCCACATGTGTCAGGAATCATAATGAAAGTACCAAATAAAACATAATTATTAAAAGATGAGGATTATCTGAGAAAATTACAAACAGTGGTGTCTTTATAACAGACATAAAACCAAGCTGCATTGGGGGGGGGGGGTTGAAAAGGCATAAAAACTATAGAACTTAATGTAGCAATAGTAGCATCTTGAAAAAATATTTGAAGGCAAAAAGCATTAATAAGGATAAAAGGGAACTATAAAAAGAAGGTATCTAAGTTAGAACAATCACAAATGGTGTCAAAATTTTAATGTAAAGCAGCAGAACGTAATGGCAAATCAGTTGGGAAATTCAGTACATCTCTATACAACATGATGGAACAAACACAACCTAATTACCATTGATCCAGTATATTTAAACAGTGTGCTTGATAAAGAGCACATATAAAGGGAGAAGCTGGAACCCAGCAAGGAGTTCAAATGTACATATTTTAAAGTGACTTAGAACATTTACAAATATTGGTCACACAGTTTCCAAAGGGATTTTTGATACATTTTAATGAGTTACTGAAATAAATTCTTCAAGTCATGTTCCAATATCCATTTTAATTGTTAATTTACTAACAGAATATCTGCATCCTCAGAGATGTCAGGATCCAGACAAAACACCATACTTCATAATGTCCCTAATAGTTGGCAGGACCACCAGCTTAAGGTTTGTTGAGTAAGATGAGAGCAAACTATTGTTGGGGGCGAGGGAAACGCTAGGGAAGCTTCACACAAAAGGGGTAGCATTTTGCAGGAAGATATATTTTGCTTTTCTTCATTTATCTTTGGCTGGCCTAGAACATAGCCACGTGGTGGAGCTCAGCAGGCACCTTGGAAAGTTATGTGATCTTAAAAGTGTCTTAATGGCCCTAATCAGTTTGGCTCAGTGGGTAGAGCATTGGCCTGGGAACTGAAGGGTCCCGATTCAGTTTCAGTCAAGGGCATGTGCCTGGGTTGTGGGCTTAATTCCCAGTAGGGGGTGTGCAGGAGGCAGCCATTCCCCCTACTGGGAATGAAGCCCACAACCCAGGCACATGATTATCTCTTATCATTGATGTTATCATTGATGATTCTCTCTTATCAATGATTCTCTCTTATCATTGATGTTTCTATCTCTCTCTTCCTCTCCCTTCTTCTCTAAAACCACTTTTTAAAAAGTGACTAAAATTAAAGATAGAAGCAGCTTCCAAATGCACAGGGCCTAAGAGAGTTAAAAGCATTTTGAAAAAGAGAAACAAATTATATGCCTTACTACCTGTCTTCAGGACTCATTATAAAGTTATAGTAATCAAGATCCTGACATAATAGTAGACATATAGGTAAATGGAACAAAAAAAAAATTTCAGAAATACACTCAAATTTATAGGGCTAATTCATTTTCAAATGAATGTGAAAGCAAACTATTGATAATTCAATGTAAAAAGGGCATTCTTTAAAAAAAATGTTGCAGAGACAATTGAATATCCCTATGCCAGAAAGAAAAAGTTCTTAGCTAACATCATATGCAAAAATTAACTTCAATTGGATCATAGAGCTAAATGTAAACAGTAAACCATAAAACTTCTTGAAGAAAACAGGATCTCAAATTAGGTGAAGATTTCTTAAATAGAACCCCAAATCACAGTTTATAAAAGGAAAAATTTGTTAAATTAGACTTCATCAAACATTAAAAATTTTGTTCTTCCAAAGACAGTGCCAATAAAATGAAAAGTCAGCTTTTTAAGACTATAGGGACATAACCAACAAATTATTTAAATCTAGGACATATAAATAACCTTTTCACTTAAAGTGAGAGAGAGGGAGAGAGAGAGCAAGAGAGAGAGATGGCTCACTTAAATTAGGGTAAAAGATTTCAATAGATACTTCACCAAATAGGATTTGTGGATAATGGCAAATAAAAAGATGCTCAATACCATTAATTATTAGGGAAATGAGAATAGCAGATTAGAATTATAAGAAAAATCAGTATATGCCTGCTATGAATAGCTATAATTAAAAAAAAAAAAAAACTAACAATATCTAGTTCTGGTGAGTTTGCAGAGTAACTGGAACTTTCAACATTTCTAGTGGATATATGAAAGGGTGCAACCACCTTGAAAAATATTTTGACAGATTCACAAAGCATGGAACATACATTTATGTTCAATTAATATGACTTAGTAGTACTTCTTTTAGGTATTTATCGAAAAAAACTTAAAAATAAAAATATGTCCACTCAAATATTTGTATGAACATGCTCATCATCATTTTTTTTTCAAACTGGAAATAGCTCAATGCCTATGAACAGATGAATAGATAAATCAACTTTTCATTCATACAAGAGATACTTCTCAGCAATAGAAATGGAATAACTGCTGATACAGAGAGTAATATCAATATGTCTCAACAGCATTATACTTACTGAAAAAAGCACACACACACACACACACACACACACACACACACACATATATATATATGTACTATATATTGTATAAATTTATGTATATGAAATTTCAGGTTGAAAAATACAGTGATAAAAACAGATCCACTATTTCAAGGTCAGAGGGCACACATGAATATTTGTGGGTGATGGAAATGTTCTATTTCATGATTATGGTAGTTTACATGACTATCCACATGTGTTAAAACTTTCAAATAAACCTTTAAAATGATGAAAGGTATTGTATATAAATAGTATCTCAGCAAATCTGACAGGAAAATTAAAAACGCACAATCCATAGAAAGAAAACTATAAAATTTTGTTGAAGGACAAAAAAGTTGACGAATAAATGCATAGGTCATTCTCCTTTAAAAATGTCTTAATTCTACCTGAAATAATCTTTAAATTCATTGTACTTCCAAGTTCTCAAAGAAATTAGGAGGTTTTAGGTGAAAATCTTGATTAGATTCTAAACACAGAGGTTCAACATCACTGAATTACTGAAATTTTTGTCTTTTCTATATCTCCTCAGTGTATCTTCCTCCTGCCCCCAACAGAAACTATAACAGTAGAATTCTATTCACAGGTCCATGTGTACAGGGAAAGTCACATGAAAGGGTATTTCAATTCATGAAAAAAGGTGTTGAGGTAATTTCTTATAGTTATTATCTCACATCATACACAAGGAGGTGAATGCTGTATGAATTACAGATTGTTAAGATTACTCACATTCCATATTCATTTCCTTCATCTTAAAAAATATTTTATTCATTTCAGAGAGGAAGGGAAAGGGTGAGAGGGATAAAAACATCAATGATAAGAGAGATTCATTGATTGGATGCCTGTTGCACGCCCACCACTGGGGATCGAGCCCATAACCTGGGCATGTGCCTTTTACTGGAATTGAACTGGGGCCCTTAATCTGCAAGTTGATGCTCTATCCACTGAGGTAAACCACGTAGGGAGGGCCCTTCTTCCATCTTCAGAGCCACAATATTGTGTCTCTCTGACCCTTCTTCCTCTCTCCACACCAAAGAAAGATTCTCCATTATTTTTTAAGGACTAGGGGAGTATCTTTGGGCCACCCTGCTAATCCAGGATAATCTTCCCCATTTTAAGTCCCAGTTTAATTAAATCTGCAAAGTCCACTTGCCATGTTAGAGAACAGATTACAGGTTTCAGGAATTAAGACATAACATCTTTGAGGAGCCATTGTTCTACCTACCACAATATTGTAAATAACAATAAAGCTAATGAAATAGTGGCATTATAAAATCATTTCTCACATGAAAAGCAAATAAAATCTTATCCTTACTTTTTCTCTTCTTGGCTTTTCCTGACTTGGAGTTGTTTCCAATATCCACAGTACCTACAACAAACAGGTGGTGGTGAGAAAATGGAAATGATTAAATAAAATTTACAAATTTTCCTTTGGTTAAGGAATCAACCCTGAACAAAGGATCCCCAGTTCAATTCCTGGTCGAGAGCATGTACCTTGGTTACAGGTTCCATCCCGGACCCCAGCTGAGGCAAATGGGGCAGGCAACTAGTTTATGGCAATGTTTCTTTTTTTCCCTTTCTCTCTGTCCTCTCCCCTCCTCATTACCTTTCACTCTCTCTAAAGATCAAAGGAAGAAATATCCTCTAGTGAGGATTAAAAAAAAGTTACAAATTTTAGGATGGTTCATACTGCAGAAAGCTTGAGTTTATAAAGGTGTTTGATCAATTGTTTCTTTCTTAACCACAAACCTACTACATTGAGAAGTAGGACTACATAATTGGCCCTGCGACTTTCTTTATTTCTCAATAACATTTTAAAAAATACACTTAAACACCTTTGTACGCAGAACTAGGATCAGGTCTCATATCCTTAAGATTTTTATGAGGAGGTTTGTGCAAAAGTTTGTATGACATCACTGTATAAACCTGTGACATGCTAAAGCATAGACACCCATAAAAAGTATGTGCTTTGTTGCCTGGCTGGTGTGGCTTAATGTTTGAGTGTTGGCATATGTAATAGGTCAATTGTAGGTCAAGTTATATGCCTGGGTTGCAGGCTGATCCCCAGTAAGGGGTGTGCATGAGGCAGCCAATCCATGATTCTCTCTCATCATTGATGTTTCTATCTCTCTCTCCATTCCTTTCTAAAATCAGTAAAAAAAATATTTCTACTACATCTTCAGTGACAATCAACAGGGCCATGACTTTTTAATGATATCTTGTTTTCCTGCTAGCCCCAAAAGAATAAGGCTAAGCAAAAAGAATGGGATTCTGCCATGAACTGGACTCATTTTTTTTTGTTTTTTGTTTTTTGTTTTGTTTTGTTATTGGTGTTCTCAGAGTCAAGTGCAACAGAAAACATAGCTCTCATTTCAGACTTCTGACATTCTGCTGCCCCTGTCCTGTGACTCTCACCATCATAACTGACCCACTCCCAGTTGGTGAGCTGCATGATATTCTTGATTCTTGATCACCCATCACTGACATACCAATCATCTATGGTAACTGCTAAATCACCTCCACCCCAAGATCATTGTTAGCTTTGCCCATTATGTCAGATGCTTGGCTACTTTCATTTCTTGCCTCTTGGCCGCTTGGCATACCTTATAATGAATAAATGACGCAGAAACACTTCTTATTTCCAGGTATTTCTAAATGTCATGTAAAGATGGTTATTATTTGTTTCTGATAATTTTACAAAAATGTTTCCTACAGCCCAGTCAGCTTGGCTCAGTGGTTAAGAGTACACCTATGAACCAGGAGGTCGATTCTTGGCTGGGGCACATGCCTGGGTTGTGGGCTTGATCTCCAGTGTGGGACATGTAGCAGGCAGCCGATCAATAACTCTTTCTCATATTGATACTTCTATCTCTCTCTCCTTCTTCATTTCTCTTTAGAATCAATAAAATATTTAAAAAAATATTTCCTACAAAGATGCTTCAACTTAAACAATATTCATTTAAAAAAAGATTCAACAGTTCAATACTTACCTGGACTGTTGAAACAACAGAGAATTAAATTTAAAATTACTAGAAAGTAAAGCAGATGACATCTATTGTGGACAACTAACCCAATATTCTGGGCCAGTATTGTATAGTCCACACCCTCATATTACCTTTTTTCTGTATTTAGTTCCTTATTACCTCACAAATAATATAAGAGGCCAAGCCAGTTCCCCTTCACCACTCATTAAACCCAGGCACTCAATCTTACCTTAAATCTACTTCTTGGTCAAAACATAAAACTGGTTATACATATAGTCAAGGATGTTGAATGCGTGGTGATTCAGACCAAATAAAGATTTGAAAGAATTGTAATGACCACTCCAACAACAGACAACCAAAAAAAAATGCTTAAATTTCTTTGCATGCGTTACATTAGACAACAGAATTGCTCTTGACCAAATCTTTCCTGAACAAGGTGGGATTTGCTCTATTGCTAATACCTCCTATTATACATGGATAAAATATTTCTGAGAAAATAAAAATTAAACTAGATAAAATATAGGTATAAGCAAAATAATTACATACAATGCCCACTGATACCACATGGTTGCTTAATATTTTCATGTGACTGCCTGTGGCTCAGTGTTATAAAGATGCTTCTCTAATAGTGGTTGCTCAACATTTTTTAAATGATCACTAAGGCCTTTGAGACGTCATATGAGAAACCTTAAGGAATTACAGATGTTTTCCCTTAAAGAAACATGACAGGAAAGCCTTCCTCTGTTCTGATGCTCTTGTTGCTCAAATGTGGCCTAAGGCTTTTAAGAAAAGAGAAAACCACTCTTCTTTCTACAGATCCTCTTATCTTTCAGAAAGAAATTCTACCTAAAGCCCCAAGAACATTTGGCAAGGTAGAAAAGGTGTTTATTACTTTGCGCACGTGCTTATTACTTAACTAATTTTATATGTACAGCATCTTTTTATGGTTTCTCAGTTGTGCATAGGGCAGGAGAGTTGAGCTCCTCCTTACATATGTCCCAAGCTCTCCCTGCCTCCCCCAAGACATGGCCTTTTTGTTCTACCTAATTTTTTAGTTTATGATTCTCTATTATGTTTCCTACATTCTCTTATTTTATTCTGTTTTTTAATAATGTCTGTGATCTGTGAATGTCTATTTTAGTCTTTTTTTTTTTTTTTGTTTCTCCATTTAATCATTCCCATGATTATCAAAGTTCTGCCCTACTGACTTTATACACACTAATCCCTCCCCTTTTACCAGTTCCCCTTCACCACTCATTAAACCCAGGTACTCAATCTTACCTTCCTGCTCAGACTCTTGGGCGCATTGTTCACTTCCTTGTCGACATTCTAGTGCATTATTGTTGTCAGTGGTTGTACCTATTTCATTCACTTTTATCTGTTGTGTTTCACAGCAGTGCTCTGAGAGTCCATGTTCAGGTAGTGCTGTACCTAGACCAGGTTTTGATTCATAGATATTTTATTTGCCCGTTGCATCAGTCAGGGTCTAACAGGAAAATACAAAGCTCTCTACACTGTTGAGGCAGAAGGAATTTAATCAAGGAGATTAGTTATGCAGCTGATGGAAGAGCTGACAATTCCAAATAGAAGAATAGTGAACAGGAAGGTATGGGAGGGAGAGACCAAAGATGAACTCATGTACCAAGTCACTGGGGAGGTAGAAGCTGGACCATGGCCAGCCTGCTTGGTAGGATGTAGAGTTAAGGGAGATGTAGCTATGGCAAGAATTGTTGCTCAAGACAGCGATGGGGAAATACCATGCTTCTCTCTTGCTTCCCCTCTCCACTCTCTTGCTGGTGGTACCCAGGTTAGGTCCTTAGCAGTAAGCAGTAACAAGAGAGCTGGCAAGAAAGTCAGCAGGGGCCTGTGGCCAGAGATAGAGGGCAGAGCAGAGCAGGAACCCATAAGGAATAAATCCCCATATAAACCATCCAGGACCAGTGTACTCCTTCTCCAGGGTAAGCCTTCTCTGTTCATTTTTTATTTCATCTACTCATCCTACTCTGTTCCCACCAACTTCACTAGTATATGAATAGATACAGATTCTTTTTTTCAGTGCAGCTTGTATTTTTCATTTAGTGCTATTTTTCTAAGCAAAGTATTTTATGTAAAGATGATTTAAATATTAATTGCCACAATTTTATCATAGACCCTGGTGCATATTTTGTGCCACATCCACCATTCCTTGGAGCTTCCTCTTGGGGAAGGGGCATGAGGCATAGCTTTTCCCTTGCCTGTGTTGGTCAGCTGAGTCAGACTTTTCAACACATTTATTAGTGGTTTATTATGTATTATCCTATATAATAAAACCCTAATATGCAAATTGACTGAATGGCAGAATGACCAGTTTCTATGACATGCATGACCACCAGGGGGCAGATGTTCAATGTAGGAGCTGCCTGCTGGTGGTCAATGCACTCCCAGAGGGGTAGCATCACTCAGCCAGGAGCCAGGTTCACCAGTGGTGGGTCTGCTGCAGCCAGGTGGTAAAGAGTGAGTGGTCCTGGACTGTGAAAACCCTGGATTGCGAGAGGGATGTCTGACTGCCGGTTTAGGCCCAATCCTCATCCTTCGAGGGGTCCCAGACTGCCAGAAGGTGCTGGTCAGGCTGAGGACCTTCCTCCCCATTCCTGCCCCCTAGTGCACAAATCCATGCACTGGGCCTCTGGTTTGGGTTATAATATCATTTCTTCCTCCTCCCTTCCCACACTTTGTGCACACAAACAACATACTCTGAGTCTCTTCTCTATTCGTTACTCATCACCATTCCTCCTCTCACTGTTCCTATTTTAACCAACTGTCCTGGTAGATGAACTGCTAAGTATATAGATTGATGCATGTTGGATATTTTATATTCTTAAATACTAACTTTTTTTTTCTTTTTTTACTGAATGAGATTTGATAAAAGTATAATGGTGCTTTCAAAATCAAAATCATCCTGAAAGATTTTTTATTTTATGAAAATGCATTTCTAATTTAGAACATCATTTCTTAAATAATACACTCTAGTGCAAGCTACATAATAATAACTTCTATAGTGTTGTTAGAACATCTCTAGCACTGCTGCCCCAGAGATGATGGTAGAGAGTTGGCTCAGAAGACACATGGCATCGATGATCCTGTAAGAGTGACCCAACAGGTGAGGGACCACTAGCCTAACACCCTTGTTTCAGTGCTGGCCACTGCTGGACATGATATCAAAGCAAGGCTGCAGGAAGATTCAAGCCAGACAGAGGCAGGAGTGCTAGAGAATGCTGTGAAGCCAGGTGCATGGGAATTATGTCCAGGCCCAGGAGCTGGCAGCCAATGCATTTCAGGAGTATCAAAGGAGTGACCTTCCCAAGCAACCAGGAAAATAAAGACTGTTATCTATAATCCTTGCAGAAAATGCAAATGCAAACACTGACTATTCTGGGCAATTAGTGCTAAAAGGAATCAAACCTCTCACAATACAAACCATTGTAATTCCAGGCATCTGGGCCTAACCACATCAGTCTTTGATATGAATTACCACCAGTTCCTGAGGGAAGAAATGGAAGGAGGTTTATTTCAAAAAATTGAAGTCTGGGCTGTGCCATTCTCCCCTAATCACATTTAATCTTTATAAATTAGGTAAAGTCCAAGATTCCCTCCCCCAGGTATCAATAGATGTAGATCTGGAGGATCCCACCCAACTCTTGCCATCAACTGCCCTCAGTCATCAGTCGGACATCTCACTAAGATCATTCAGGAGCCACTCAGTAACCAGCAATGGCTTTTTTTTTTTTTTTTGTCACCTATGGCCATAGGGAACTTGTTTTTGTTTCCAGGGATAGCCCTGACTCATAGATTCACCTTACTCCTTGCAAAATCATGTCTTCTTGTCCCATCCCCTTCACACCAGACCCTCCCTATGCATGTCAGTTTCTCTGTCTTATTGGCCTTTTTTTTTTTTTTTTTTTTTTTTTTTTTTTAAGATTCAGTGCCAGCTCCTGGTATTCTTTCTGTATCTTTTTCTCTGCACGTGTTTTTCTTCTTTGATTCATGTTTTTATCTTTTCCATAAGAATATCTGGGTGTGGATAGGGTTCAGAAAGCCTAGATTCATCTTAATCATTTGACCCAAGGCCAACTACATACACAGTCTCCTTTTCTGCAAATAGACAGAGCATGATACCTTCCCCCAAGGGCAGCTGTGAACACTATGCCCGCAGCTGCCAGAGTAAATGGTCTATAAATGAGCTCTTAGTAATGTAATTGTTGTTACTGTTTAATATAACCCTTTCTTCGGCCTTTTATTTCCCCTCCTTCTCTCTCTCAAAACACTCACATCCTCTTCTGCACATTTTACTACTTCCCTCCTCCCCTCCCTATATGACTGCCCATCTCCTTGAATATTCCTGCTCTTGAGTAGCATCCCCCACATTTAACTCAGTCTCTTTCTTATCACCCAGGATCTCTTCAGTTATGTTGACTTTGGACCCATAGTTTCTAGCCCTTCACAGTATCACACTCATCTTCTGCATGGTCTCTCTAAATCACAATTACTTTCACGTTAGCATCATCTTTAAATCTGGTCTCCTGATACATTGGGTTCCTGTTCCTCTGTCTAGTTATTGGGCCATAGGTCTCTTGTCATAGCTTCTCCTCCAGCATCAGCCCCTGATCAGATTCTCATACAAACAGCCCTCCCTGCCTTCTCTATGCTCTCCAACAGGTCTTCCCTAATCCCCAAATTTCCATTCTCCTTTCCTCTTAGTAGAAGAGAGTAAGTTTTTATCTGTTTGCGATCACCTTGTTCCAGGTGGTAATTAGGCCTCTCCTCATTTTCTTCTTCATCACTTTCTAGGAAGGATTTTATGTCTGGTATCTCTGAAGAGAGGACAATAGGAGAAGACAATTAGAGATCTTTGTGGAATGGGAGTCATCTGAAATTACATGTTTAGGAATTTTCACTCCTTGGATCACTCAGTGCTCAGTGGGTCACAATCCTGTAAATAATGTTCCCCCTTCATTCCTGGGCCAGAAAAAAGAAAACCAACAAAGGAGCTCTATATGCTTCCCACATAGAAAGGAGCCATTTGAATTTCAAGATAAAGGAGGTGTGAGCTTGTTATTCATGTGAAAAATTTCAGCTGGCCAGAAAAGCATATATCAAAAAAAATAAAAATAAAATAGTTTGCTGAACTGTTCTAACTGATAAGGAAAAACAGAGGAATTTCCTTGGGAGGAAAACAAAGATCCTATAGATATTTACATGAATAAAAGAGGGTAAAATTGCAAATATTTAAAAATGAGGCTGGACAAGAGAAATTTTTGGCTTAACTGAGTCAGGGAGGATAACTGCTTCCCAAATAGACATGTCAGAGAACATGGGAACATCTGGACACACTTCCCAAGGGTACCCAGATCCCAAGACAAAGAGGAATACTCTCTGAAGCTGCAAGCAGGACGTGAATATTGTGTCAATGACGAAGGACCCAAGATGCCTAGACCAAGATCTTCATAGGCTGCCAAAGAAGGGAGAACACAGTACTAGCTCAGGGCCCCTGCCCGTAGGCTACTGAGCTAACATATGAAGGAATATTTGGTGTAGGTCTCTGCAAGGAGACGGGGAGGAGACTGAGGGAAGCAGAGAGTGCATATAACTCAGGGGTGATAGCAAAGGGTACCTCCTGGGGCAATAAACCTGTACTTATAAACCTGTACTATTTCTTCACTATGTGGTATATAACATTAAATTACTTAATTTTAGAAGCCAGACATCCCCAAATCCTTTTTTTTTTTTTAAATACTTATCCCCTTTGAATAAACTCACACAATCTGCTTCTCACTCTGAGATTTATCTAGTTTGTCCTTGTTCTACACACACAGGACCCTTTAATGCTCTATGCTTGCTCCTGAAGTATCTGAATTCCTCAGTTCAAATAATTTTTCTTTTAAATTCTCCAGAATTATTTGGAGACTTTTTTGAAACCAAAAGTATATAGGATAAAAAATTTTTCTAGGCAAGGTAAAAGTTACTGGAGGACACTTTCTTTGCTGAGAACCTATTTAAAAAATTAAAAAATTATGCCTCTCAGGGAAAAAGTAGAGAATCAAATCATTAGTATTGTATAGTACTAAAAAAATATCTCTGGCAGAGCAATTGGTGTTGTGATTAATTGATTGTTGATCACACCTGTTATGGAGAATGAATTAATAAAAACATTTCAACTCCTTCAAGACAAATTCCAACTTGAGTTAATTTTCTTGCTCAGTACTCTGGAAACTTGATGAAGGTGGCCTTTCTTCTATGTTAGTAGGCCAACACTAAGCTTAGAGTTAAAAATGACCAGTGACTGTAGATGGGTAAATTTCAAGTGGCTAAGGAGGGACTAGATGTGAACTATAAGCCACTTTTTGCCTTCTTTCAGTGTGGTAACTCTTGTACCTCAACTATCCCTTGTGTAGTCTCTGAAAGTTATGACTACAGAGTTGTAACATGAGAAATTGAATCCCATGGGCAGGGTGTAGCTACATCAGGGTGGATCCTGCACCCATAGCTATGCCAATACTTGAGGAGGGCTGTAATCAACTTGGTGGACTGCTTTGTGGACTCCTGCAAAGGGTTCCATAGAAAAGGAACAACCAATGTCATCCTTTTAGAATTTGGGGTTTCCTCTCATTTGTCCTTCTAAGTAAATATGATGTCCCTATGGCTCTGGTAGTCATGTGACTCTAAATGCCTAGTTAAGCATACCTGCAGTTGGGTGTCTGTACTTTAGCCATTATATCATAAGCTTTGAGAAACTCATGATTTGTTTCTTTTCTTAACTGCTACATCCCCACTGCCCAGAATGTCTGTGGCACATGGTAAAACAGTCAATATATACCTGTGGGAATAAATTGCTCTGGACACCAAAATGTAGAGAATAAACATAATTACCTTTGTTGAATATTTTATAAATGCGATATAAATCAGTGTATTTATTCATGATGACCTTGCTGAACAGTGCTTGCAGAATGGACATGTCAAACTTCTTCTCCAGTTCACTGAGAACATCGTATATGACTTCATGTACAGTAAACCGTTTTTTAAAAGATTCTTGAGATTTCTTAAAAACAGTGAATGGAGAAAACATAAATACAGACTTCTAAGTCACAGAAGATCCCTAGAAAGCGATTTTATTGTTAATGCATAATAATTTCCCAACATAGGAATCTTCTCACATACAGTTTTAGAATCTTACCTAATAAATACGGAATATGCAAACTGATGCAACTAAGTGAGAGGCAGAAGGTGGCTCTGGCCTGAGCAAAGGTAGAAAGATAGTTCCAGGCCAGAGCGAAGGCGGTGCCGGCAACCAGGGGAAGGAAGGCCTATTTATGCACAAATCTTCATGCATCAGGCCTCTAGTTTCTCTATATTTGTGTGGCTATTAAGTGGAACAACTAAATTCTTCCTAGAAAACACCCACTTGTGAATCTGAGCTTCTCACCCTCATTTATATGAGATGGAATAAGGAATCATTAGGAAGAACAAAATGGTTTCAAGTGAAGTAATATGTAGTCCTTTCAGAGACTGGCTAAATGTCTTAGGAATAGACTTAGTGGGTGTGAGATGCTATTCTATTGACTGGACAACACTTGCCCCTTCCTCAGGACTGACTTGGCCTGGAAGCTTCTGTGAACTTTGCTATTAAGAAAGCCTATGCAGCCAAAACCGGTTTGGCTCAGTGGATAGAGCATTGGTCTGCGGACTGAAGGGTCCCAGGTTTGATTCCGGTTAAGGGCATGAATATTGGTTGTGGGCACATCCCCGGTAGGGGGGGTGCAGGAGGCAGCTGGTCAATGTTTCTCTCTCATCGATGTTTCTAGCTCTCTATCCCTCTCCCTTCCTCTCTGTTAAAAATCAATAAAATATATTTTTTTAAAAAAGAGAGAAAGAAAACCTATGCACAGGTAAAGTGAAGGTGTGCATCTCTATCTCCACTTACCTCTTTTGCTAAAATTAACCTAAATTCTAAGACTCCAGAAATACCAAAAGGGGGAAAAAACAGAAAGGAAACTGAAAACTGTTGTTGAAAGAATAGCAAGCATCTACTTTCAAATTTGTCTTAACAAGACATTAATTCTCTGTGAATTTTAATATTCTCAGGTCTAAGTATTTAAATTAATGCTCATTGCAATGAAATGTGTCAATGATTATTTCATTAAATGAAGTCATTCAACTTATTCACCCATTTATTAAAATTATGTTTAATTCTGAGTTTATATTATATTTTATATTTAACTAGAGGCCCAGTGCATGAATTTGTGCACAGGTGGGGTCTGGCCGGCCTGGCCCCAATCAGGGCAGATTGGGACTGGGCCTGTCGGTAGGTTGACTGGCTCAGGGAAGAGGCAATTGGTGATTGGTGATTGGCTGGCAGGCCTGCCCCAATTTGGGATTGGGGGCCAATTGAAGGCAGAGCCAAACATGGGGATGGGCTGTGGGTTGTGAACTTGCTGGCCTCACCCCAAAATGGGATGGGTGGGGGATGCTGATCAGGAGCCTGTGGTCTGGGGGAGGGGTTATGGGTGGTTAACCGGCTGGCCCTGCCCCTTATTGGGGTGGAGGGACGATCAGGGGTGGAGCCAGCCAGGGGAAGGGGCTGTGGGGCAATTAGAGTGGTGGGGCCCCATTCGGGGCCTGGTTGGCCAGGGCAGGAGCTGCAAGAGGTTGGACAGACAGTCCTGCCCTCTATTAAGGTGGGGTGTGCCATCAGGGGCAGGCCGGCCAGGAGGAGGGTTGCGGGCCTATTGTGGTGGGGCTCTGATTGGGGGCATGCATGGCTGGCTGGCCCAGCTCTTGATTGGGGTGGGAGAGTCCAATCAGGGGCAGGCCAACAGAAGGGAGGGGCCGCCGGCCCTACCCCCTGATTGGGCTGATTCACTGGCCACAGTAGGCGTCATAGCGACTGGCTGTTTGATAATTTTGGTCGTGATGCCTCTTTGACACATTGACAAATAATAAAATCTTTTATTATTAAGATTTCTAGAAGGCAATGTATACCCACTTCAGATCCAGCCTATCTCCAGAGCTATTCACCCACTATAGGAAGCATGACAGAGCCCAGTCCTTCAGTTAGGAGCAGGACTATCTCCAGGAATGCCTGCTTCTCTTCTCTTTTGACTTTAGAGAAATACTTAGCAGTACGTGAGAAGGTCCCTACTCATAAGTGACTCCTCAGTAGCCCAGTTGTGCTCTGAGTTTTAATTCTAGGATATCAAAAAATATAACTTAGTTTGGGTTTGTTTTATCAGATTGTGAGATAATAAATATCACTTACTTCATACATTTCATCAGTGATGAATCCACGGTCCCGGATAAGTTCAAGGAAAGGAAATGTTGTTGTTATTGCACCTGAAATCTCCACCTTATATTTTTTAAAGCATGTGAGGGCAATGTCATTAGTATACTTGTTTACTATGTTCTCATCTTCTGCAGACATCCTAGGGAGAAGGAATACTATGATAAAATGGCCATAAGGTTTTGATATGCTGTAACATTTTATATGTATATGAAGGATAGATTTGCTTTGAAGGACAAATAAAATTGAAGCAATAGACAAAACTATAAAAAAATTAAGTATGGTGGATTAGAAAGATATAATAGTATTGAAAAATACTGGTCTGTCATGATCACAGCCATTGTCAAATTATTTTATCCCAAACATATCTGGAATTTTTATGAAAACATTTTAATTTGTACAAAAGTAGGATGGAGCAAACAGATCATCTATAAAGGAATATGAAACGATGGTATAACAATAGAATGTAAGCTTAAAAATGTATCTTAATTAACAACGAATAGAAAATAAATCTCAAAAAGATAAAACATGGTGCTCCCTTCTTGTCTTACAGCAGTTAAGAAATACTATCCTGGCTGAAACCGGTTTGGCTCAGTGGATAGAGCGTAGCCTGCGGCCTGAAATGTCCCAGGTTTGATTCTGGTCAAGGGCATGTACCTTGGTTGAGGGCACATCCCCAATAGGGGGTGTGCAAGAGGCAGCTGGTCGGTGATTCTCTCTCATGGATGTTTCTAGCTCTCTATCCCTCTTTCTTCCTCTGTAAAGAATCAATAAAATATATATTAAAAAAATACCATCCAGAATTATTAAACTAGTTCATAAATGCTAAGATGTGGTTTAGTAATCATATGATAAGGCATAAACTAAAAATTTACAAACTATCAATAATTTTCCTGGAACTTTTCTTTTGTATTATTATACATCTATCTACGCTATCTAAATATAGTACTAGTGGCCTGGTGCACAAAATTCGTGCATGGGGGTGTGTGTCCCTCAGCCCAGCCTGCACCCTCTCCAATATGGGACTTCTTGAAGGATGTCCTATAGCTGGTTTATAAGGTTTGGGCCTAAACTGGCAGTATGACATCCCTCTCACAATCCTGGACTACTGGTTCCTAACTGCTCACCTGCCTGCCTGCCCGATTGCCCCTAACCACTCTGCCTGCCAGCCTGCTCACCCCAACTTCCCCTGCCAACGGTCTGCTTGACCCCAAATGTCACCCCACCAGCTTTATCACCCCTAACTGCCCTCTGTGCCAGTGTACTCACCCCCAACTGCCCCCCTGCTGGCCTGCTCACTCCAAACTGTCCTACCCCCAGTCCTGATCACCCCCAACTGACCCCCATGCTGGTCTGCTCACCCCCAATGCCCCCTCTTCCCCCAGCAGCCTGATCAACCACAACTGCCATCCCATCCTGGCCTGATCACCCATAACTGCCCTCCCCTCTTGGCCTCTAACCACCTCTACCTTGGCCCCACCACCATGGCTTTGTCCAGAAGAAAGTCCAAAAGATCTCCTGGAAGGTCTCCCAGTCTAATTAACATATTACTTCTTTATTAGAGGCCTGGTGCACAGGTGGGGGCCAGCTGATTTGCTCTGAAGAGTCAGGATGGGGTTCCCTTGGGGCATGGGGCAGCCTGGGTGAGGTGCCTGTCATGGTTTGCAGGCCAGCCACACCCCCATGGGGGCATGGCCACCCGAAGAGGTGGCATGGCCAGCCTGGGTAAGGGGCTGAGGGCTGTTTTCAGGTTGACCACACCCCCTTCAGGGTGGGGTTTCCTGCTGGGGTGCCTGGCCTGTGTGGGTGAGGGGCTAATAGCTGTTTGCAGGCTGGCCAGGACCCCAGTAGGGACTCTTACTCCATGGGGCGTGGCCAGCCTGGGTAAGGGGCTGAGGGCTGTTTTTAGGCTGGCCACACCCCATTCAGGGTGGAGGTCCCTGCTGGGGTGCCTGGCCAACTTGGGTAAAAGGCTGAGGGCTGTTTTTAGGCCTGACATGCCCCCTGGAAAATCAGGTTCCCAGCCCCTTCTTCTTTTCCCTCCAGCCTCTCCTCGAGCAGCGGCCAAGTTGGGCAGGAAGTTTGGCTTCCTCTGCTGCTGGGGGCAGCACAAGCTTCCTGCTTGCTCCAGCTCAGTGGCTGCCGCCATCTTTGTTGGGTTAATTTGCATAATCATTCATGATTGGCTGGTGGGCATAGTGGAGGGACAGTCAATTTGCATGCTTCTCTTTTATTAGTGTAGATACTGTATAAAAGCCTAAGCTACCATTACGATGGTTGCTATGATGCACACTGATCACCAGGAGGCAGATGCTCAATGCAAGAGCTGTCCCCTGATCATCAGTGTGCTCCCACAGCCAACCTCCTGTGGCTGGCCAACCTTCTGTGGTCCCTCCGCCCCCTTAGCACTCCCCCCACCCCCAGCTGCCCCAATAGCCAGTCAGACTGTGGGACACCCCGCCACACACCAAAAAATCCATGAACCAGGTCTCTAGTTGTTGTATAAAATGAATCTTTTTAGACACCCTAATTTCAGAAGCACTGCTGTTTTTTGTGAAAGTAATTATAAAGCTGAGTCTATAATTCTTCTTCTTAGTTGAATATTTTATTTCTCTGATAATGTTTTGTTTTTTAAAATATATTTTTAAAACAATTTATTAAAACAATATTTTTAATAATTTATAAACAATTTATAAAAACAATATTTTTAATAATTTCAGAGAGTAAGGGAGAGGGAGAAAGAGGTAGAAACATCAATGACAAGAGAGAATCATTAATTGGCTGCCTCCTGCATGGCCCCTACTGAGTACTGAGTCTGAAACCCCAGCATGTGCCTTGACCTGGAATTGAACCTTGACTCCCTGTTTTATAAGTCAACACTCAACCACTGAGCCACACTGGCCAGTCTGATAATAATGGTTTTTTTATTTTATTGATTTTTTACAGAAAGGAAGGGAGAGAGAGAGCCAGAAACATCGATGAGAGAGAAACATCGATCAGCTGTCTCCTGCACACCCCACACCGGGGACATGCCCGCAACCAAGGTGCATGCCCTTGACTGGAATCGAACAGAGAACTATTGAGTCCGCAGGCTGACGCTCTATCCAAGAGCCAAACCGGTTTTGGCTGATAATAATGTTTTAATAGATATTTTGTTTTCCTTAAGTTATGAAGACTCATAAGCTCCTCTTTGGAACTAGAAGAAAATTATTGGCTCTTTCTGGTACACAATATACATTTTGGAATAATAATGTCACATTATTTTGTCAAACTTTATAAAAACAAGTTTCTGTTTAAAGATAAGAGATTGAAGAGAAACATTTGTGTTTCTTTCTTATTAAAATGCCACTAAATGATAATTAACAAATTGGTTTCACAATGACAAAGAGAATGGCAGGAGCCAATGAACAAATGAGAGATTTCAACAACAACAATAACAAAAATGGTCAGAAGAGTATACTAGTAATTGCTACTAAAAGCAAAGGTTGCTCCCTTTAGTCATGAAAGCAACCAGTGTACCCTGAGGTTATGATATCAATTCTTAGCAAATTTTAGCTGAGTATTTATAGTTTTCAGTGTACATACATGGAATCTGAAAGGTGGTGGAGACTGAAAGGGAGATATGGTGTGAACACTGCCATTTGTATAACGAAGAACAGTGCAATGTACCCTTCATCCTTCAACTTGCATTCTGACCACCTGGAGCCACGTGTTGCAAACATTGCTCTCCTTTCTAGCACCATATATTCCTGTTGCTCTTGACTGAATTTCATAGATGGATCAATACATCCTGTATATTTATATGTCTGAGTTCCTTTGCCCATCATTCGTGTTGTTAGGTGATTAGAAGTTTGTGCCTCTTATTGTTCAGTGTGTATATTACCATCTGTTTAGTCATTTCCTGTTGATGGACATTTGGATTGATTCCTGTTTAGGATTCATTTAAATAAAGCTGCTGTTCTTGTATAAACCTTTTGGTAGTATGTTTTTGTTTCCCTTGGGTATATAACTAGGAATGAAATTACGGGGTTGCATGTTTAACTGTTTCAAAAATGTCAAATTGTTTTTCAAAGTCTATTAGAAATAGCTGTTCTAACTTAACTATTCCAACATGTGATGTGGTAGCCCATATAGTTTTTAAAAAATATTTATTTGATTACTGATGATGTTGGACACAATTTCATATGCTTATTGGGAATTTATATTCTTTCTTTCATGAAGTGTTTGTTCAGGTTTATAGCTCATTTATGTTATTGTGTTGTCTTTTATTTAGAGACTAGTGACTCAGTGCACAAAATTCATGCACATTAAAAGGAAATTAATTAGAGAAAATATTTTAATATTGCTATTTTCCCTTTCTTTGTAATAGAAGTATCAGAGATAAAAGAAAATTAGTAAAATGTATATGAAAATCTTCCTCCTGTCAGAGACTGGGTTGCGCCATGGGAACCAGAGTTAAGTCCCCAGCAGGAGAGGGCAATAGGGGTGATCAGGTCAGTAGGCAGAGGCAGTCAGGGGTGATCAGGCTTGAATGGGAGCAGTTAGGGGCATCAGGCCAGCAGTCAGAGGTGGTAAGGGGTGATAAAGCAGGCAGCAGGTGAGCAGTTAGAAGCCAGCAGTTCTGAATTGTGAGAGGAATGTCTGACTGCAGGATCGGGCCTAACCCAGTAGTCAGACATCCCCCAAAGGGTCCAGGATTGGAGAGGGTGAAAGCTGGGCTGAGAGGACTCCCCCCCACCCCCGCACAAATTTTGTGCACTGGGACTCTAGTAAAATATATAAAGAAAACAGCTTGCATTTTAAGACAAAAACAATAAGTATAAAAATTGAAACAGGATAAAAATTATGAAAAACATATTTAAAACGCTAAATGTAAATAAAACCATGGTGTTATTGAAAGGCACAGGATCAAAAATGGAATTCAACAAGAGACACAAGGAAGACAAAGTGCCACAAAAGTTATTAAAATAAAAAATAGGCAAGTTACAGCATGCGGATGTCAACAACAAAACAAAAACGATCTTGCAGTTAGAGACTATTTTGAAAAAGGGGAAGAAAAGAAAAAGGGAAATATAGTCAAATCCCGGTTCCTGAAAATTTCAAACTTTGAAAAATAGACATAGATCCACAAACCCCTCAAAA